TATGTCCATAAGTTTTGGAAAAGACAGCAAGTGAATACTTTCGCCGCGTTTATTTACTTGATGATTTTTGTTTTATTTGAGGAAAGTTCAAACCTTAGAGAGATAAGAGGAAGTTGATGAAGATTGAAGTAAGCAACGAAGAGCCATTAAGAATATTAGTATTACGAGCTTTGTGTGTGCACACAAACTAAAACACTTGGATGAGATGTTATGACATATGATTCTCTCTTTGAGAGGAGAAAATGACTCAATGAGAACTGCTACAAAGAGGGAGCGAGATTGTTTAAGAATCAATTAGTTTTTGGCGAAGAAGAAAAATTAATCTCAGATAATATTGCTCTGACATTTTATTTTGCTAACAACTGGTTTTTTCTGAGCTATGGCAAGTGATATATCACAACGGCTATGTTTGTTTGCTTGCTTGAAAAGAATAAGTCTGAGCTCTTTTATTAGTGTTTTAAACAATTATACTTACTTATTTTGAAGATATGAGAATAACATGCTAGAAGAGAAAGTTGTTAATTAATTTACAAGCAAATAGTTCAACTAAGCCAAAAATATTAAAAAAACACATGAATGCGCCATATATAAAATAATTTATTTGTCATGAAAAATAACCATTTTTTTGCAACAATGAAAAATTAGTTGTCTCGAAGTTAACATAATTTTGTAAACCAAACCAAAATATTGTATGGATTTAGACCGAACCCAAAATTCAAAAAAAATCGATTTGGTTCAGATAGATTTAACCAAAACCAAGAGCAAAGCTTCATCCTATTATGTCTTAAGAGCATAAGAAAATGAAACAAAAAGGAACAATGTACTCGGACAAGAAGAAATGAAAAAACATTAATCATAATTTTTTCCAGCCGAAGACGGTTTTAAAAAGGAACATCGATCAAGTAATTTAGTCTAACTCCATGATTTCCTAACATAATTTTCAAAAACCAAAACTAGCTAAACGACTATCCGAAGTTTTTTTAAAAAAATCCTAAAATCTAATTATTAATCTTATTTTTAATGGTCAACCGAGTTGAACTAACTAAAATTAATCGGATTAACCAAAATTAACCGAAATGTTTCACTAAATCTGAATCGGATTAGTACTTCACTTTTATTAAGCAACATTACTTACGGACCAAACTTTGCCATAACTGAACCAACTGCACCATAAATTTATTCGGTTAGTTTCAGTTAGTTTCGGTTGAATATTTCTAACCCAAAAAAATCAAAGAACCGACAAACAAAATCAAAACGGCCAAAACTAACACCATATATATAAATTTGGGATAAGTTTCTGTATTTGGATTTAGGATCTATGTATTTTTTTCAGTATTTTACATTAACGGTTAAGACTAACATATTAGGGTTAGTACCCTTTAATTTGTTAAAAATAAAAAAATTATTTCCAATATTTTATACGCATTTGTGAGGGTGTTAGGCTCAAATATTCGAGGTTATTACCCATTAACTTTAAAAAAAAAAGATTAGAAATCAAATTTCATTTCTAAATAAAAATTATGTCAAAGTTTTCAAATTTATTATTCCCACACAAATCAATTTACGTCCACGTTGAGGTTTTGAAGAAAAAGGCTAAGCTCAATATGAAGCAGAAAATGATCGAGAAGAAGATCAAACGTCTTGAGAGACATAATTCGGAACCAAAACAACTTGGATTCGACATAATAAACCCAATTTCAGAAATTATCCGACATGTTTTTTTTATTGTGTTGATAACGAAGAAAAACGTTGCCACAGATTATATAATTACATGTTTATTATCACCTAGATAAGTTATTACGTTTTTAAAATAATGTTCAATATTGGTCTTATAAGTAATATTAAATATTGATTAGCTTGGATTGTTCAATTATATTTCATCGAATGTTAAATGTATGATATATTGAAATTATGTGTTTGTTATTCGAAGTAAATAATTAATTTTGTGTTGAATGTAAAATTTCAATTTACAATGTTAAACTAACTTTTCGATATTGTTCTCCCACACAACGCGCGGGTACCTGCCTAGTATGTTTTAAATAAGAATGTCATTAACCAGAACTCTGAAAAATAAAGTAAAAGTCAAATTTACATTTATTACATTCGAAAAAAACTTATACTATGTCTTATTTATCAAAACTAGCGCACACCAAAATTATTATATATATTAGGTATTTTTAAAAAATTATGGTATTTATAATATAAAACAAAACAAAATGATATATATATTTTTTTGTTAAAGACAAAATGATAATTTTTGAAGATACTTTCATTTTGTTTTATATCATTTCCCGTGTTTTACATTGTTTAAATTTTTTTATATTTGAGAATATTATACTCTCTCTGTCCATAGCAGAATAGCTGTAATATTTTTACTTTTAAAATTATAAATAAAATCATTCATATTTGTATATATGTCGACGCGGCAGCTACATTCGTAAATTCGTATTCGGATAACGAGTTATGAGCTTAAACATAAGTATGAACACAGACAACGAAAAATAAAGATCAAAAGATCATAAACACGTGTATATTAGTTAGCTACAACAAATATTCGTTTTTTTTTTTCTTGAAAATTTAAATATTCGTGTTTAGGTAACAATTTTGTTAAAAAAAAACACATAAGTGGAGGAGAGGTTGTAAAATCGTCACATTTTCTTAAACCGATAATATGATTTCTCCATCGTGTAATCTAGTTTTACATAACATAATTATAAAATATGCATGTATGTTTTTTATTTAGAGAAACAAAAAGAATATGCATGTATGTTGACGTACAAAAAAAAGAGAAAGATATATGTACATCTCTGTATGCATCATGCTCCTTCATATATGCTTGTTTGGAAAATGCAAACGAAAGGGTTTGTAATGAGGGCAAGCTGTGTCAAACATTAGGGAATAAACAAGAGCTGTATATTATTGATTTAATTTGTCTTAAGTAGAAACAGAATATTAAACTCCGACGTTCTTTTTCTTGAGAGTTTCTTTGTTTTTTTAAATCAGTCTCCTTTTGAGATTTTTTTGGAATATATTCCTCGGGCATTTTCGGAAAACACTGTTCTTTGTTTATTTTTAATTTTATGTAGCTTGTTTTTTTTTCCAGTAGGTTGTTAGGTTTTGCTTTGGTTTCACACGGCGGTAAATTATTTGAAGAAGAAGAAAAAGAAAAATACTAGTACTGCTTGCTTGATTATTCGTGAGCAAATAATGATTTTGAAACATTAACAATTTGTATAAATACTTAACAACTCTCATTTGACTACTCGTAATAGTGTTATATTTTAAATCCATTAGAAAATATGATAAGTGGATTACACAACGTCTACATTCATGTTGAGATTAATCGAATAGTAAAAAGTTCGGATCACCCTCTGATTATAAAAACAAAAAAACAATATGCAAAATTTCGTTTTATATAAATCAAGTAAATTTGGTCATGATGTTAAGTTCCACCGTTCTTGTTCGCCGTGTTAATTTTTCCCTTTTTGTTTATAATAAACAATGAATAGTAAAATGTAGGTGCATTGCATGAGTAATTAGTCTTAAACCAATTACTGAACAAGGTCGGAAGAAAGTCGATTTTTTTTTCTATAATCTATTAAATTATATGACCGTCCACAAGGAATCAAGGACACGATCAAAACTGTTCAATATGAAAAGACATGTAACCATAAAATATAAAAGGTGAATATATAATAAGCAAAAAAGGCAAGAATGATTCTGATTCAAGAGTTGTTACAGAACAAAAGAAAAAAGAAGCAACGGTCATTAGAGTTTTGGCACTTGGAAACTCCAATACCGAGTTTTGTTCTAAAATGATAAAAAAAAACACATTTTCGACTGTGTTTATCAACGGCATAATTTGTTTTTATTCCAATCATAAAAAATCTAATATAAATGAAAAAAGTAAAAATGAAAAGTAAAACTCGCGCCAAGGGGAGAGGAAGCCGGAATCAGTGGTGGTGCTCATCTTCATCACCGTGACCATCCGGAGGCCCACCAGGACCAACCACTTCCAGCTGCAAAACACACATTTGATTTAACCAATTTAATATTCAGAAATGGAAAGCGAGTTCTTGCTACTCTGTCGATTTATTTACCATTCAGAGAATCTGATTCTTCGAGTATAACTTACCTCAAAGTACTGGGTGCAAACCGGGCATTCAAAAGACTTTCCTTTCTCCAGCCAGAACCACACAACATCATGCTCGTCCTCTGCAGTTTTCGGGAGAAATCGGTATATTATGTGTCTATCGGTTTGTTTGATACAGTTACGAAGATAGTTCAATAAAGACAACGATACCCGATAAAAATCATCCATTATATGCCACTAAAGTTTTGAAAAGGGATGAACTTACCACCTTCACCACCAGGGCATCCCACAATTCGCTTGTCATAGTATGACTTCACAATAGCAGGAGCTTCCTAAGGTAATACAATTTGATAA